CCTGTCAGCTTGTTGAATTTTAACCTCACATTGCATGGGACGATCTATGTAAAAAAAAGCAAAATGACACAATGCAATAATGCCAACACTAAAAATAAAATAGTTGTTACATTTCATATAATTTCTTACCGTCGCACGACGAAAACTCGGCTGGAAGTAGATGCCGAATAGCTTGCCAGTTGCAAGGCTGCTGGCGCACCTTGACTTGCACAATCGACATGGTGGTGGTGGTGGTGGTGGCGCCATTTTCCTAAAGCAAAATGAGCAAAGGATTAACGATCCACTTCACAGGAAAGAAAAACAGTAGCATGTGATATTTTTGTTTCTTCTTCAGTTATATTTTCATAGCTTACTAACACCTTCTAGAATAGAACCAACAGCTAGCAGGCAAATGCCAAATCTTCCGCGAGAAGCAATTTGGTTCTTCTTCCAGGAGAAGCAATTTGATTCTTCTTCCGCGAGAAGCAATATCAACTAGCGTACTAAATCAACTAAATCAAAATGTTCTATAAATTAACTAAATCAACTAGCCTATTAAATCAACTTGCCTACTAAATCAAAATGTTCTATAAATAAACTAGCCTACTAAATCAACTAAATCAAAATGTTTTAAATCAACTAGCCTACTAAATCAACTAAATCATATGAACTAAATCAAAATGTTGCATATGAACTAGCCTACTAAATCAAAATGTAGCAGGGAGGAGGGGTTGTGGATGGGGGAGGGAGGAGGGAGAAGGAAGGGCGACTGGAGGAGGGAGGAGAGAGTAGGATGGAGGAGGAAGGGCGGAGCGAGGAGGGGCTGGCCAGCGGCAAGTCGAGGGAGGACGGAGGAGGAGGGCGGTACCGAGTCCAGTGAGGAGGAGGAGGTGATGGCGGTACGGATGGAGGAGGGGTGGGCGACGACGGCCAGCGGGGGAGGACCGGCGCGAGGGGGAGATCGAGTGAGTGTGAGTGTGAGTGGATCAGATAGAGGAGAGCGTGGGTGGTGGGAGATAGCTAGTTTTAGCAGTAGCGCGCTATAGGGAAAGGCGCTACTGCTAAACAACCTAGCAGTAGCACACTTCCAGTGAACGCGCTGCTGCTAGAACTAGCTTCGCAGCGGGGTCGTGGAAATTATAGCAGTAGCGCGGCTTACAAGAGGCGCGCTACTGCTTCTTTTATTTCAGCAGCGAGTTCTGCTGGAGCGCGCTACTGCTACATTGCAGCAACGCCTTATTTTAAAACGCGCTGCTGGTAAGATCATGTGTATAGGCTTTTCCCTAGTAGTGTAGGTTTAGCCCCGATTTGGTAGGGGGAGGGGTCTATTTATAGTAGGAGGCTAGGATTAGGGTTTGGAGGGGGTTTGAGGCTGTTTCAAAGCCCTCCGATCGCGATCCGACGGTCCCGAGTGGAGGCAGTTTAGGTGGATTTGCAGGTGGGCTGATTGTGGCTACGTAGAAGGCCGTGGGCTGCGGGAGAGAAGAGTGAGAGAGGCCCGGCAACAGTTTCAGGAGACAGAAAATGTCCGGCGTATTAACCAGCAATGGTGTCGCTACAGATGACGGTTGAGCTATCAAACGGACTCCGAACGCGATGAAATTTGGCAAGCGGTCTACTTACGCTATAACAAGACCGCACGCCAACTTCCACCCTATCCCGAGAACATTTTTATGCCACTTATAAAATAATATATCGGAGGTGCCGCGAGCGTGTGTGAGTGTGGCTGGACTCAGAACGGACAACAGAGAGAACTGGGAGACCCGGACGAATGCAAGTTTTAAAAAACATGAGGATGCAATACACATGATGACATGGCAAAGTGAATCACGCAAGCGAATGACATGGCAAACAACGGAGGATAACTGGAAGACACCTGACGCATCGGTCTCGGGACGTTACAGAGATGGCAGAGCAGAAATGGAGTGAAGCGGACGAACTTCGGCACACTCCTACCTAGCGTGCCAAATTTCAGATCTTGGGATTCGGGGACCCCAGAAAGATTCGAACACTGGGGTGTGCGCAAGGAACCTCGCCAAGCCTTGCCTAGCTCCACACTACCTCACGGCGATGCTCCGGCGTGCTCGAGCAAAGGGAAAGACGAACTACAAACACGACAGTTTACCCAGGTTTGGGCCACCTTGCGGTGTAAAACCCTACTCCTGCTTTGTGGATGGATTGCCTCGCGAGGGAGGATGAACACACGAGTACAAAGAGGGTTGATCGATCCCTCTCTATGGTGGCACTCTATCTCTACTTATGCTAGCCTTGGTCCTCTTCCCCCGAAAACACCAGGCAGGAAGGGTTGCCACAACGGCCAAATACGAACGGGGACAGAGTACAACTTATCTTGACTAAAGTTGGTCTTCGCCTGCCAAAGCTCTCTGCCATGACGCGCCGGTGGGCTCGGTGATGACCTTCATCCTAGCGAGCTCGTCGTCCTGGTCTTTTTGCACCGAAGATGCAACCTTTAGGGATCGCCTTGGTAACCGGTGAGCTGTCCTTGCTCCCTTAGCACCAAAGAGGCAAACCTCCTCGTCCGGACCTGTTGGCGCTCCTCTGGCTCCATTTGTCCCCACGCGGGTCACCCACGTGAAGGCGCGGGGCAGCATGACTCCTTGGTTGGTTCCTTGATCCATACGACTCCTAGGAGGCCTCGGGAGATGGCCTCGGGAAGCTGCCTCGTGAGGCTACTAGCGATGCCTGACGGTGCGCGCCTCGCGAGGAGGGGGTCCACTTGAGGGCTTATCTGCGAGGCCTGAAGATGGGCCGCACGTGGGGCCCAGGCAGTGCGCCGCGCGAGGGGCCGTAAGCAAACGGGCTTGGGTATCCCCAGTCCCACGGGCCCGAAGACGTGTTCAACATTTTTTCAAATGCTTGAGTAACATTTTCATGATAAAAAATTTCCATCATTTTTTCTAAACACATTGACATTTTTCAAATATTTTTCAAATGCTTGATTAACATTTTTTTGAATACATAATCGTTTTTTTATAAAATTCTCGTGTGATAAGAAATTTATCTATACACATTTAAAAAAATCAAATGCTTGATAAAAAATAAAATTTTATTGATATATATTTATAATATGTTAAAGTATAAAAAGGTAAAAAAAATAAAGCAAAAAAGTAAACAGAAAACGTAGAAAACGTAGAAAAGAACATAAAAAGGAGGTTGTACCCTCCCGCGCGGCTGGGCCGGCCCATCTGGAGCTCTCCGACGCAAGGCTTCCCTCTGTCTCGCTTAGGCTAGTCGTAATGGTAGTATCATAGTTAGTATCATGCATGTCAACTAAGCAATTTTGATGAGGTGTCATAACCTTAAATGAAGAAAGATATGGTGGAGTATCATAGAGTATCATGATACCGTATCATAATAAATGTTATGCTACTTGTGTCATGCATGACGATAAATAAAATACTACATGATACTAATATATGATACTATGTATTAGGGAGGTAGTATTATATAACTAGTATCATATGCATGATACTATTATATGATACTCCCCGAGGATCTTCAAAGGCTTTCAGGTTGCACTCCCAAAAAAAAGGCCAGGCCTTCAGGAAGAAGAGAACGGATCATCGCCCTCCCTAAAATTCCTAACCCTACTCCCCGAATTCCGCCGCCGGCTGACGCTCCTTCGGCCCCCAGATGAGTATCCCAAATCCAATTGAAGCTCCAGTCTTGTCCGATTTGGTCGTGGATTGACCAATCAGAATCCATGGCGACAGCTGCCGTCCTTGCGAGCCGCGAGGGCAAGGGCCGCCACTATATCCCAAGCTCCGTCATACTCGACCTCTTTGGCCAAATCGGCCCCAGCCGCAACGCCACCACCGCCACGTCCAAGACGAGTACCGGCCTGCCCATCGCGGTGACTTTCTGCGCCGCCCGCCCGCCAGTCCTCTCGCACTTCTCCTTCAGCAGCGCGGCATGCCCGGAACCCGAGGGTTTGTCCCTGGCGCCCAAGGTCATCAGCGCGGATGCTGACCTCGTTCTCCTCCGCGTCCCCGTCCAACCCTTTGGCGAGTCTAATCCGATGTTTAGCGACTACTTCGTCTACAGGGCGCACTCCCAAATCCCAAAGCTGGACCTGCTCCCGAAGTCTGCTCCATATTACTTTGGAGATAAGGAGATCGCCATACTGAGCTGCGGCGACGGCAAGTACGCTGTGGCCGCCCTTCAAACCTTGGGTATGTGTACCTTTAAGCTTCACGTGTACCGGTCTAGACCTGATGGCAAGCCAGGGAGTTGGACCTCCAAGCTGCTGGATATAGAGCTGAATGTGAAGGAGCTGCCCAGGGACAACTCGTCCTCGATCTCTCTCGCATCGCAGATGCTTTCGTATCATCGGACAACAAAGGTGATCACGCTTGGTGGTGCTAAAGGTACCGTTGGCTGGGTCGATCTCTGGCGAGGCATCCTTCTCTGCGACGTGCTGGAAATTAGCCCCACGCTCCGTGACGTGCCTCTGCCTTCTGTCTCTAAGAGTGACTGGAGGTTATTCCTTGACTGCTGCCCCTACTATTTGCGTGACATCATTGTCGACCAGAGCAAAAGCACTATCAAGTATGTCAAGATGAACTTGCACGGTGGTGCCTGGAGGGCCACCACATGGAGCATGCCTATCCCGGTCACTTCATTGAATGGCTGGCAATTTCGATGCTCCGCCCTGTCGACTGAGATTGATATTCCTGCTGATCTCAAAAGGCATTATAAGCTGTTGCATAAGCTCATGAGCGGAAGCGCCAACAAGGAGGGGAGTGCTGCAGAGGAAGTCTTGTCCCTGGAATCTCTACGCATGGCTTACCCTACCTTGAGCGTCACGGATGGTGATGATATTGTTTACTTGTTGGCCAAGGGCACCGGCATGAGGGCTATGCCGACAGTATTCTCTGTTGATCTCAGTATGCCGACTCTGCGAGGAGTGGCGAAGCTACCCAAGAGGCACCTTGGTTTTATGCGCTACTTCCTTGCCAGTGGAATCTCCAAACATATCAGGACTCCAGGTACCTCTGCTCTTTCGCCCTTGTGGCAACAACTGCTCTGGGTGTCATTTATGCCCTGTTATTTATGTACTATTAGTTGAAAACATGTTGGAAAGTCAAAGAGGGGGTGTTATATTTGGATCCTTTTAGTAAGCAGGGAAGCTTGACTTCACCAATATTGTGGCAGCAGATCCACATCCAGTAAGCAGTGTTCAGCCCATGCTTAGCTAATCTAGCACCATGTGGGTGTCAAAACACAGATCTGTGTTCTCGTCACAATGTCCATTGCTCTAGGATTGTCCGTGTGATGAAACTGAGATTACAACCTAGCAACTTATCACACTTGATTTAGGAGGACGAGATTGATAATGATGATGCGATGCAATGGTAGAGTAGTGCATCGACTGTTAGGGCTTCTTGCGTTAGTTGGGAAATAGAAATTAAATCTGCTGAGTTGAGAACTGTTACATGTGCTGCAGTGAATCCAGCCGCAACCTTAGCATGGTTACGGCAATCTCTACAGCTTGCACAGCCTATCATCATAAATATAAAAAATTAGAGGAGAGCTAATTAGGCACATTTATTATTTACATGTACACTGAATTAGAAAGTATGAGAAACCAAAATCCGATATTGAACTGCAGATAATGAAAATGTACCTTTAGGTACTTTGCGGTCTTCAAGTCTTTGCAGGCACAAATGTAGTGCAACAAAACTGTTACGTCCTGACAATTGAGAAAAAAAAATATCTATTGTTAGCTACAGGATTTAAAAAACTGATTTTTGTAATTCCTTCATTTCCTTTCTAGATAATTGTCTGAGCAGGAATCTGCCATGGTGCTGCATTATAATTTCTATATATGTAGAGAAAGCAACATAACAAACACCCCATTAGGAGAAATATAGCAACTGCATGTAGCCATACAAATACGCAAGTTTGAGATACCCAACTATTTGAGATGAGATTTTTTTTAATAAAAATTGACATAAACTCCACACTAGTTATGGATGCTATTATCAACAGCAATGAAAGGCCTGATCAAGTCGTAACAGCCCCATACGTATTCCTCGGGTATACCCTGCGTGTTCCAGCTGTATTCTGATTTTTTTTCCTTATTTTAATTCGAAAATTGTGATGCTTTGGGATACGTGTATCCCACGCGTATCCATGTGTATCCCCGTCCTGGTGCAGTGTCCTGCACCGATTCGGCACCTATGTGCCGTATCCCTGCATCATAGAACACATCCCATAATCATAAATATCAAAAACTAGAGGAGAGTTAATTAAGCACAATTATTATTTACATCAAATAATTCAAGGTACTCGATGACAGCACAAGTATCTGGAACCCCAATAATTATGTTAGACACAAACTATAATTGGAGCACCGGTCAAGTAAGACCATTGATGCAAAACACGTTATATTTTCCATGTAGTATTTTATTATGACACCGAGTTAGAAAGTATGAGAAACCAAAGTCCCATATTGAACTGCAGATAAAGAAAATGTACCTATAGGTACTTTGCGGTCTTCAAGTCTTTGCAGGCACAAATGTAGTTCTGCTAACAAAATTGTTACGTCCTGACAATGGAGAAAAAATATCTATTGTTAGCTACACGATAAAACTGTTTTTTGACTTATAATTCCTTAATTTCCTTTCTAGATAATTGTCCGAGCATGAATCTGCCAAGGTGATGCATTATAATTTCTGTATACGTAGAGAAAGTAACGTAACAAACACCCCATTATTAGTAGAAACATAGCAAGAGCATGTAGCCATACAAACACGCCAAGCTTTAGACACGTCCAACTATTTGAGAAAAAAAGTCGACATAAACTCCAGTAGTTATGGATGCAACCATCAACACTTTTTTTCTTCATATTGTTGTAGAGCAAATGCAATGATGGATCACTTGAAATGTTTAAATCAGCAAGGATTTTGTAAATCGTTGTAATACTTGGAGTTGGTCAGCATTTCACTGCAATGGACATAAAAAAATGAAAATCACTTTGGACTTGAACACAAAGACTGCAACATATTCCTTGGTTTCCTCTTGGAGTGGAATACATATACCGGATTCAGATTTTGATCGGCATATGGTTTACAGAAATATAAACTCTAGATCATCGAAGAACTTTGTACTCCGCATCTACTTTCTGAAATATTATTTTGCCTCTTCAAGTTGTGTGTGTGTGTGTGCGGTTGAAGATGTTGTGTTCAGTGCATGGTCGGGCTGCAGTGGTTTGGCATCCGGCAGCTAGCACCCCCGCAACCCACACACAGAGAGGGCCAGTGATATGGACTTCGGCCTGCGGCAGTGCTAGCGCCCCGACCAGGGGATTGGAAGACCGGATGATGGGGAGTGCTTGCCACGATTGGTGGAGAGGGCGTGTATGGCAGATGTCAGGGAGTGGTGACAATTTCTGTGAGCATGTGGAATGACAGCAAGAGATGGCTAGGGAGGGAGCGACTGCAGTGCTGAAGCAGAGAAGTCGCGGTGGAGCGGGAAACTTCTTTAACTGAGGTTCTAGGTGCTTCAGTTTGAGCAATACGTCTGACACACCAAATCCAGGCCACACGTTTGGGGGACCGCAATGCCTGAGACCACTTTTGTTGGATTTGGTCTAGTACGAATCCGACCGTCGATCTTTAATTTCCCTAGCATATAACAACAGAGGTCAAAATGCCTTTGAACCAAGTCAATTTCCTAAACAAGGAAGTGAAGTTTGTAATAAGATATTGACCGAAGCCAACTTGAAATGTGATTATTGCTTGGTGTTGTTTTGCCTTATTGTTCTTGCTCACTTGTTTTTCTTCAGTGAAACGTTAGCAACTTATAATCTATTCTAATTGATCCAGGTACAAGTGATTCCCTTGGGCAAACTGAGGTGCAAGATACGAATACTTGTGGTCAAGAAAGTGAGTTATTGCCGGGTGTTGTTGTCTTATTGTTCTTCTTCATTTTTTTTTACTTGATTGAAAAGGCGAGAATTATTGCTTCTAGTGAAATCCTGCCAACCTATAATATATTATAATTGACGCAGGCAAAAGTGACTCCGTTGAGCAAACTGAGGTGCAAGATGCGAATACTTGTGATCGAGAAAGTGGGTTTGCTTGATTGAAGGTGTTATGGAGTTAGATTGCTGTGCCTTGAAACCTGGGGGCAAGCTTTGCTGGAGAGAGTTATTCATATAGATACACTGTAAAGATATTTATGTTCTGCAAATGTACCATGTGCCGTTGCTCAGGTTATGTCATCGTATTTTAGCTTGGCTTTGTTTACAGTACCTTAGCGGCTGTTGTTGCGAGTAAATATACCAGCGGGCAACTAAACCTGCTTGGGTGTCATTTAGATCCTACATTTTTTATTTTGTGAGTTGTATGTCCGTGAACATGCAAAGTGGCATACCAGTGGCAACTCTTATAAAGCTGCTGATGTGTGGATGCTAACACCGCATATTTGCCATTTTTCACACATTAATTACCAGCACTATCGGGGCAGGGTTTGTCATTGATTAGGCAATTACGTTGTTTGGACAGCATTTTGACCACTGGGCACGTCCACCTATGAATGACTCAAAGTTTATCTTTTCATTGTGGGGACCTCAAACCAATTCCAACTTTTTTCACTTAATTTTTGTAGTCATTTCATCCAAGTCGTTCCAGGCCTTCTTTTACTGAATCTATTAGTAGTTGCACTTTTCGACATATGCCTTTATTTAGGCATTGGTTGTAGGCATCCCCTTCTCTTAAAGGAATTTCTGCGCCCAGTTCCTGATCAAGTGTTGGAAAAACCGGAATATGATGCTTTCTACTTCAGTAGTAGGGTTGGCCTGAACCCCAAGGCAAGATAGTTGTTGGGTGATCCATGAGCACTTAATTGATTATTTGAACGCCAAACTCTTCTCGTGCTTGAATCTCAATTCCTGAGTGTTTCTCTTGTTTGCTTCGAGTGTCTTCTGTGAGAGTGAGATCATATGAGTTCTTGATAGTGTTTTGATTGAAGATCGTCGAAGAGCTTATCCAAGTGACATTACTTTGCTTGTTCCTCTTGAAGGTTGTACGCCTCCTAAATGGTTGTCATTTAGTGTGAATGACTCGTCTGTATAAGCCTCGAAGATCCCTTTTTGTGTGTCAAGGTCTACCCCAAGAGGCTTTAACATTTGTAGCCATGGCGGAATAGGTGGGGTTGCAACTGGTGGGCGACTCAAATGATGCTTTTTGTGTTATTTAAAGTTTTTGTTGTTCGAAGCCTCCATCAACTTGATGACTAGGATAGAGAGGCTATCCAAACACCGGACAAAAGAAATATCATCGAGCCCTCATGTTTGCATCCTTTAACTCAATTCGCTACACTTTTGCAATTTATCATACTCCGACATACTCTTGTGGTAAAAAGACGAGAGCAGAGACACAACACACAAAAACCTCTTGCTTGGACTCTTACCCATCTCTCCCTCATCCCTTCCTACTTACTCTCCAATCTCCACCACAACATCTCCTCCGTCGGCAAAAGGTCGAGCATTGTGTGCCCTCTTGTGGGGACCCTGGTCTAGATGACCGAAGACAACGATTTGTGTGTGCATAGTGATCTCAAAATCAATGTCCAGTTAACACAACGAACTGATATCACAGGTTACACCCATTAACGATTAAAGTCTTACATAATTAAGGCTATTATGTTTGAGTCTTACATCAAAGTCATAACTAGGGAATTCCAAATGAAAGAGCAGCAGTAACTCCAATGATAATTTTGGCCCTACCCAGCTTGCCTTAACACTACTACATGACCAGCTGCGCACATGATGCAAAGACCGATTGCAGCCTGCCCGCAGCGGCAACTGATCGCAGCTATGCAACCGGTCGTCCAGGCAGAGGTGATTTGTACGCTAAAGTTCATTGAAATGAGAAAAGTGGACATACATCGGTTCATACATGCAAATACCCTTGTCGTGCACATCTGCGCCAAGGGGACGTGTTGTGCAGAGTGTGCAGTGAGGTACATCTATTTTTTTACTCCGCGGGCCCAATACTTTTTTCTCTAAAGTTGTCTGGGTGGCGTGTACCCAGGTTAGAGCATCTCCACTCCCGCCCCCACCAGGCCCCCAGGGCAAGTTTTTTAGCGTCGGCGCCAAAAAATCCCAGTCGCGCCCCCAGGACGTTGAAATCCGTCGGCTCGGCGATCCTAGGCCGAACCCAGCGCACTGGCTGGCGGAAGGGAAAACCGCATCTGGGCCACCACCGTCAGGCGAAAACGCATCTTGCACGTCCAGACCCCCCCCCCACGCGCGCAAGCCCCTGCCGCCACCTTGTCGATCCTGGCGCCGCCCACCCAC